GTTATTGTATGTAATGTAGGTAGTATGTATGTATGTAGTAGTAGGTAGGTATATGTGGTAGGTAGGTATGTATGTATGTATGTTATGTATGTAATGTAATGTAATGAATGTAATGTAAAGTAATGTATGTAATGTATGTAATGTATGTATGTATGTATGCATTAATGTATGGAATGTATGTATGTTTGTATGTATGTATGTATGTATGGATGTTTTTATGTATGTATGTATGTATTAGGTGTACATGTGTGTATGTATGTGTGTCCGTTGTCTGTTGTCTGTTTGTATGTATGTATGCAGGTAATGCATGTAATGTATGTAGGTTTGCATGTAAGTTGTATGTATGTATGTATGTATGCATGCATGCATGCATGCATGCATGCATGCATGCATGCATGCATGCATGCATGTATGTATGTATGTATGTATGTATGTATATATATATATATATATATATGTATGGCCAGCACCTGTCCCCCATAGCAGTGACGTCGGCGAATGAGAACGTCGTGTAACTAGTGCCTGTGGCACTACCCTCTTGAGCTCGAACTCCTGGTCGAGCTGCTGCCGCCTCGGGCGGCGCCGGCCTGGCCTGCGCGGCCTCGGCGGCAGCTCACTCAGCTAGTCAAGCTGCGGCGGGGTCCGGTGCAGCCGTGGGCCCCCCTGCCTCTCGGCGAGGCCGCGGCGCCCTCGCCCCCTTGCCGAAGGCCACCTGCGGGGCCTCGAACTTGGCCTGCGGCAGCCTTGCGGCGGTCTCCTCGAGCTGCCTTTTCTCGGCGTCGTCGCTCTCCGAAGCTGCCGCGGCGGCGGCGGCGGGCGCTGCGGGGGCGGCTGCGGGGGCCCCGTTCGCGGGCGCGGCGGCTGCGGCCGCCGTGGGGGCCCCGTCCCTCCCGTGCGCTTCTTCGCCGCGCTTTCCTCGGGCTGCGCCTTGAGCCTGGCGGCCTCGGACAGCTCAGCCCTGACCTCCTCGCCCTTGGCCTGCCAGTGCCAGCGGAAGGCGACGAGCTCCTCACGAATCTTTTTCATGCCGTCCTTTTCGCTCTGCTCCAAGTCTAATTCCTCAGCCTGATCGAACACGTCATCGTCCCAGGAGATCTGGAAGTTTGGAGCGAGTGGGTCGGACTTCTGCTCTGGCTCGGAGGCGGCGGTGGCGACTCCATCGATTTTGGCGAACAAGGTCGATGCAACCTTTTTCGCCTCCTCCGCCTGGGCCGGGGTCGTAGCGGTGACCTTCTCTTCCGCGTGCTCCAACGCGGTCCGTAGCTTCAGGATGTTGTTGGCACACTGGGTGTGCTTGTGGTCGGCGTCCTTCCACGCTCCCACTGCCTTGCGCACCGACTCCACCGCAGCACTCGAGTTACGATCCGCAGCCATCGGGGGATCGGTTTTCAAGTGCTGGATGCGTTTCTGCAGCATCTCCTGGAGCGGCTCGTCGGTCGTGGTGGCCAGTAGCTGCTGGAGCTACTGGATCTCATCCACTGCACCTGACTGGGGAGAGTGGGCGCTGTCCTCGGTCTCTGCGCCCTTGGCACCAGCACGGGGCTTGTAAAGACGAGCTTGGCGGCCGCACTTGGAACACCTGCAACCATTCTGCTGGAGGGTGGTGTTCCACTCGAAGCGGTCGCACGCCTTGCCCTGGCTCCAACTGCTCTGACCATTCTGAGGATTCTGCGCCTTCGAAGAACCACCCATTGTTCGACTCTCACATGGGGCGTGCGCGGTGGATCTCAAGCGCCTCGGGAAGGCAAGAGAGGGGCTCAAACAAAATGCTTAGGCCGAGGTGGCTTGAGGAAAGAGGAGGAGGAGGAGGATGAGGAGGAGGAGGAGGAGGAGGAGGAGGAGGAGGAGGAGGAGGGGGAGGAGGGGGAGGAGGAGGAGGCCTCTTGGAAGCCTCTTGGGCCCCCCCACACGAAAATTAGTGGGGGGGGCGGGGGCCCCTCCACCGCGGGGGAAAATTAGCAGGGAGGATCCAGACCCCCCCCCCGGCCCGGCCCTGGGAAAATTAGTGGGGGGGACCTGCCAGACCCACCCCTGGAAAAATCATCGCGATGTCCACAACGCCCCCCCCCTCTCGGCGACGACGACGACGAAGACGACGACGACAACGGCCACGACGACGACGGCGACGCCGCCGCTGCCGCCGACGACGACGACAACGATGAAGACGGCGGCGACGCACGACGCACGACGCACGACGCACGACGACATCCCATAACCGGCCCAAGACGGTCGTAACCGTCCTTCGACAGCAAGTCGCCCACAGACCTGGACTTTCGTGTCATTACAGCGCCATGGTCTAGGCCTCCTAATGGGGGTCGAGTAGATGGGGTCGGAGGATCGCGCTGTATCGTCGATGCATCGGCGATGCGGCTCGATGTCGAGCCCGATTTTCTCCACGCTGGCGTCGCCGATGCATCGTCGATGTCGCCGATGCATCGCCGATGCATCGCCGATGCATCGGCGATGTATCGCCGATGTGTCCTCCGACCACATCTACTCTGACCCCATCAAGGAGGCCTCTACTTGGGCTGGGCTAGAACCACGCGCGCGCGCGCGAAGCGCGCGTGCGTGGTTTCAGTAACACGAAAGCCGAACTCACCCGCAAATCTTTTGCTTTTCCATTGATCTATGCGTCTTGGGTGGGCCCCCCCAGGGCTCCCCAAACGGCCCCAGATGTGTTCCGTAGCCATTTCGGCTTCAGAAGTGTCGAGTGCCAGTGTCAATATTCGTGCTCAGTGTCCTGTCGACACCATGTCTACATCAGGCGTCCTCAAGAGCATGTTTGCCGAGAAGGGTTTCGGCTTCGTGACCCCGGATGACGGTGGAGATGATTGCTTTGTGCATGTCAAGGACAATCCAGAGCTCGATGGAATCGATTCAGGAGGAGACGCAGTGACATTCGACAAGGAGTGGGATGACCGCAAGGGCAAGTACAAGGGCGTCAATTGCAGGGTGACAGGTGGAGGAGGCGGCGGCGGTGGCAAAGGCAAGGGCAAGGGCAAAAGCAAAGGCTACTCCGCTTGGTGAGCTCTGACATTCCAGCTACTGCTGTGCTCGTGAGAAGGCCAGCAGCAAGAACGACTGCTACTGGTAAGCAGCAGTTGCTCGTTGGTGATCTGTGGAGTCGCTTGTTTTTGGACAGTCCAGTAAATCAGTCATGTGTGGTATCAGCGTTCCACGGAAAAACGTACCCAGATGCGTCAAAGGGGGTCCAACCACGCTCCCCGCTCGGCGGCGAGCGAGGTTGGGCAGTGAGAAGGAGAAGGCCTCCCCAGAAGGCGACGGGACCCTTCAGAAGCCCCCGCGCCTTCCGAGCTTTTCTTTGTGTGTCTCCGGGGAAGACGGAGAAAACTCCTCAGACGGCCGGGGAGCTTCCGAGCTCCCCCGGTGGCTCCTGACCACGCTCCCCGCGCCTCTGGGGAACGTCGCGTGGCGGGGGGAGGAGGAGGAGGAGGAGGAGGAGGAGGAGGAGGAGGAGGAGGAGGAGGAGATCCCCGAGGCGTTGGGCCTCGGGCCCCTGCAGTCCCTCGGGGAGCAGGGGGTTCAGCGGGGACGCGGGGACTCTCTCCGCTAGGTGCCTGCGGCACTCTGGCGGACACACCTCCGCACACACACGCACACGCATGTATGCATGCATGTATGTACGTGGGTGTATGTATATGTTGACATATATGTGACCTATACATAGATATACATATATATATATATATATATGTATAGGTTCACCCCCCCTGGACCCCCCCGCTTTGCTTTCGATTCACGCTCATCTATCTTTTGTTTCCGACCTCTTCCGTCCCATGCTGTACGTCGTCATCCTTTTCTCTTCCCCTCCTCCTTTGTCCCTGCAGTCTGTAGCAAGAGTTGTACTATTGAGACATGCGCTGCTTTCTGTAGTCAGTGAGGCTCGTGAGAAAAACCGTCATGGGATACGCAGAAGGAGCTTATCAGGAGCTGTAGTGCCAGCTGTAGTGGCTGAGCTCGGCTGTGGTATGATCATTGGTAATAGCTTCAGCACTGTATGCAATAAGAGCAAATGTAAAACCTGCGGCCATAGCAGCTGGAGGACCTGTGGTCGGAGCTGCGAGATGGTTGCGTAACTGGCTGTAGTAGGAACTGTAATTCGACCAGTTCTGGGAACTGTACATGGGGCAATCGTAAGAGCTGCGATGAGAGTTCTACGGCCTATCTGAGTAGGATCTGTAAGGAACTGCATTCGAAGATGTACTCGGAAATGTAGCATGCATTGTCGCTTGAGCTGTCGTGAGAGCTGTATTACTGGCTGCACGAGGAACTGTATGAGGATCCGTAATGGGAGGCGCATTGCGAACTGCACTGGGGTCTGTACTGTTGATTGTTGTTGGATGTGCAGCAGGAGAGCTACTAGACACAGTGTGCCAAGCTTTGCTGGTGGCTGTAGTGGGAATTGCAAGAAGAATTGCTTTCGGATATGCAGTCGGATGTGTAACATGATCTGTGGCAGGAGCATCAAGGCAATTTGCAGTGGTGGGAACTGTATTGGCTAGTGGCTATAGTAGAAGTGTTGTAGGAGTTGTAGGAGGAGCCGTTGTAAGAATTGCACTCGGAGTTGTTGTGGGAGGTGTAGAAGGAGCAGGTGCGAGGGACGTGTGCTGCTGGCTGTAGTAGGAGCTGCATTAAGCCCTGCCAAAGGAGCTGTAGTAATGGGGGGCAGTCGTACGAGCTGCAGTGGGGGTCTGGTGAGCTATAAGTGAGAGCTGTCCTATTGGCTGTGCCAAGGAACTGTAGTAGGACTTGCGCTGGTACGCACAGTACACATTGTATTGATAGGAGCGGTAGTGGGATCTGTGTTATTAAACGCATGCGTAAATACGTGAAGAGCTTGTGCTCAGGTGCTTTACACTGTTTGTAATTTGGATGACGGACCGCTGTACTACTTGTTGTCGTGGGAGTTGCAATACGAGCAGCACTGGGATGTGCATTCTGATGCGTAACATCGCTGCACTCGGAACTGTACGAGGAGCTCACGTGCGAATTGCATTCCTGACTGTAGCAGGAACTGGTGAACGAACTGTAGTAGTATCTGTAGAAGGAGCAGTTATAGGAGTTACTCCAGTAGGATCTGCACTTGAATGTGGCCAAGGAGCTACCGTGGGAGTTGTCGTGGGAGGTGTCGCTGGGGCTGTAACGGGAGCTCTGCTGGAATTGCAGCCAGAGTTGTTGTGATATTTGAAGTAGAGCTGTGATAGACGCTCCTCATCCTCGCCCTCCTCTTCCTCCTCCTCCTCCTGATCTTCGACCACTTTCTTTTTCTCCTTCTCCTGCTCCTCCTGTTCTTATATGGGATTGTTGTCTTGAGGGGACCCTGGAAGACACAGACCATCCAATATTACTTGTAAAGGTTGTGGTTAGGAATCCACGTGAAAACACATATCTTCCAGATGCTTGATTTCAAGGTTTTCGTACTGACGCCATGTGGCAGCACAGATAATCACGGTCATTTCAGGTTTTCTGACGACGGGTACTCCTTTTCCTCTTCCTCCTGCTCCTCGTTCACGCGCCACCCTCAGGGACGCTGCGCCAGGCATGAAGACCTGTGAAAACACAGACAATCCATACACTGTTCCAGATTTTGGTAAGGACACCCTGTGGAAACACAGATATCCTGGATACTGTTGATAAGGTTTTCGTACGGGAGTTTGGTGACAACACGGATCATCCACAGTTTCCGTGAGGAAGCCATGTGCACACAGGTATTCCAGATCATTCCATGTTTTTTGGAGCAGTGGGCGCTTCTCTTCCTCGTGCTCCCCAAGCCTCCTTACGTCGCGCGCGGCGCGCCCCTCTCCAGAACACCTGGGATCATTTGGATTGTCAGTGTTTCACACTGTTTTCCCGCACGAGAGCCTTGAACCTTATGTGGAGCATCAGTGTTTTCACAGGGTTTCCCTACGACATCCTTTCTAGATATCTGGGTTATCTGTGTTTTCACATGGTTTTCTTATCAACACCTTTAAGCTCATTTGGCTTACCTGTGTTTGCACAGGCTCTCCTGCCTAGCGCAGCGTTCCTGATGGGGGCGCGTGAACCAGGAGAAGAAGCAGGAGAAGGAGCAGGAGGAGGAGGAGGAGGAGCGCCCGTCTCCAGAAAACGTCGAGTCATTTGGATTCTATATGTATGCAGCTGGTTCCCTCACGGAAGCGTTTCAACTTATCTAGATTATCTGTGTTTTCGCATGGCTTCCTAACGAACGCCTTGCAACCTATCTGGACAGTCTTTATACACACATATATATGTGTATATATAATACATGGCATCCTACCCAACACCTCTGAACACTTATTTGGGTTATCTGTGCTTTCGCAGTGCTCCCTCCAGGCAGCAGTCCCATGGAAGACACTGCAACAGGGAGTCCTTCTGGAAAGCCGCCGCAGAGGGAATCCTCTTGCGCGACCGCCTCACAGGAGGACATCCTCTGGCAGGGCCGCTGCCCGCGGGAGGACGAGGGGCAGGAGGAGCAGGAGCGGAGGCAGAGTGGGAGAAGGATGGGGAGGAGGAAGAGGAGGAGGAAGAGGGGGAGGAGGAGGAGGAGGAGGAGGAGGAGGAGGAGGACCAGTGCAAACCCAATAGCCATCAACGATGTTGGAATAAACCCTCCCACCAAGCTCCCTCTTTATAGGCCCCTACAGCGGTTCATCTCCACTGAGGGAACTGCCCCGTTGGAAGACAAGCGTTTGAAGATCTTGGAGCATGCCAAGACATTATTCTCGGGGTGACAACGCACAATTGTTGCACCCTCATAATCCGGAATCCTTCCACAACGCTCTGTTTGGTACGTTGATCATGGGAAAACGTTACAATCTTGCAACTATTGAAGACGAATGTGCGCGGCGCCAAGGCGAGACCCACATTTGGAAAACGATGTGCCCTCAGTCCGTGAAACTCTTGCAACTTCTGAGAACGAAGATGCTCGGCTCTTAGGCGAGAGTTCAACTTTTAAAACGGCCTGCCCTCCGTCTGTGAAGCTGTTGCCGCTTTTGAAGCTTCGGGGTCATATGTGGTGAGAAAATATCAAGCAAAACGTCCGGCCCGCCCAACAACTGACCTTGGGGTGCGACAGGGATAAGTTATCAAGAACTGGAGAAGGAGACTGCTGGAGGAGGAGGAGGAGGAGAAGGAGAAAGAAGGGGAGAAGGAGACTGCTGGAGGAGGAGGAGGAGGAGGAGGAGGAGAAGGAGGAGAAGGAGAGGAAACAGAGCAGAAAACGCACGAGGAGACGACGAATGAACCTTTCGTCGGTTGTGGTGGCTTGGGGGGAGGGGGGGGTGCTGGGGTGGGATATTTTTATATATACGTATACGACCACCCTGCGGGTGATAAGGAGGTTGGGGGGGGAGGGGGGCCAGCAATGGGCAACAGTGGTGATTGTTGCGTTGCCGCCCGCTCTTGGGAGTCTTGGTGTCGAGTTGTTTACGTCATCCTTCGCTCTTGGGCGCCTTGGTATCATTCTCCCCCCGCGGATCTTCACGCGGTAGAGCTTGTGGTGGTCGTGATTGTAGTGGTCGTGGCTCGGCAGGCGCTGGCAAAGCCTGGCGCCGAGACGCGTTCGCTGTGTCTACGCTTTTGGGGACTGGGGTTCGGATTGGAGACGCCTGAATTTAGGCTGGCGCTCCTCCGACCAAGAACTGCTGTCCACTTGCGTTGTGGACATGGGGGACGCCACCTGACTGGAACCCTGCGGCGGGCTCGTCAGAATGGCTTTCCACTCCGTTGCCACGCTCTTCTGCAGCGCCAGGACTTCATCTTTGGAGAGCTTGACGACGTGCTCGATTGTGGCCGTTCGGCACGTCCCGTCGGCCGCGCTGGCAATGCTTAGCGCTGGGCACACGACAGCGGAGGCGAGCACGAGAGCCGTTTCTTTGTCCTAACGGTACGTCAGCATCTTGTTGAAGTCGCAGTGCCCCAACCAAATTGATCTTACCATTTGCGCCCTCCGTCGGGTCGGTCAGTAGACATGGTCTCTTTTGAGGACACTTTGAAAACAAAAAACGGATTTGTTAGCACCTTCTTATCGTCGAGGGACTCCATTTTGATTTCACTTTGGCCGCTCACCAGCAGCCACACCCGGTTTGCACCGATGTTGTTGCCACCGTCGCGGCAGACTTCCAAACCTTGGAGCGAGTCCTCGTCGATGCGACTCACTGGCGCCGGCAAAGCGACATCGCTGGATGCCACGGAGAGGCCGCAGCACGTACGCAAGGCACTCTTGGAAACCACTGCGTCCAGAGGCGCGATGCCCACCTCCATGATGTATCGCTTGGCCACCCCGTTCTCCTGGCGGAGAATGCCCCGAATGTTGAACCGGTGCTTGGCGCCTGTCATGGACTTGGCATCAAGCTGGGCCGCCACTTCGCCAGGAGTCGAGCAGTCGTAGAGTGTCGGGGCGGCATCGGTGACCACGTCTACGTCCACCCCCCCCGGTGCCATCCCGAAGACGGCAGTTCCTGAGGAAGAGGCGGCCGTCCTGCGTGTACATCTTGTCCCGCTGTAGCGGCGCGTCCAGGAGGCACCGGTTGATGTCAAACGTGATGGGCTGGGGGCCCAGGGTGGGCAATCGCGTCGGTTAACGCCACAGCGCACGTGGAGTGTGCCGCGGGCTCCATGACACTACGGCGCCCATTGGGCGGTGAGCACCTCGGCCGACACACTGGTGGCGTCCAAGCTTGTTAAAGGCTGAGCCTGATCTCCATGGGTGCTGATGTGGGCCCCTGGCCAGATGTTGATCTCCACCTCGCCATTCTCAAGCGCAGCATTGCGTCCAAGCACAGCGACGCCAGACCCCTGGCGCACGTGGGCGAAGTACTCGCGCGCCTTCTGCCACGCGGCCACCGCGATCTTCCCGCCGCCAGCATCCGCGAACTCCGCTTCGGCCACCATTTGGAGGTTGCCGTTCTTAGTGACTTGCTTGGAAGTGCCGATGCCAAGAAACTTGCCGCAGAAGTCGAACGCCGCCCAGTGGGTTGCACCAGTAGCATTCTCTTTGACAAGCTCAACGATGCCCGTGATGTCCAATGCGATCTGGAGCCCCTTAGCGGGATGCGCCAACGCTTCCGGGCTGGTGGGCGGGGCTCGAATCGGTGTGGATGGGTGGCAAATCAAGACCGCCGACTCCAACGGGCCGCCGATGAAGTCCGACTTGGCTCTGGTGTCGAAGCTCGGGGTCCGGGGCTCCCGCGCGGAGTCTGCCGTGAATTTCCTAAAAACCGGATTGCCGCATTCCGACTCTGGAAAATGAGGGGCACCCCGCCGAGCATGTATTGCGAGGGCGCATTGGACACCAAAGCGCAACTGAACTACTGCGCCTCCACTTTTTCGTTCCTCGCTGTGAACGTGTAATCGAGGACCATCGGGTCGCGGGCCCTCCCGTGCCACTTGGCGTATTTGACCGTCTGGGCGTTCATGTTCTTCAGCGTCTCCACGTTCTTGTCGAGCATTTCGGCTGGCAAAGCCTGGCCCCTCGCAGCGAGGCCGAAGGGAGTGCGTGACCGAAGTGGGTGCGTTCGCGGCCCCCCCGCGTGCCGAGTGCAACGGAAGCCTTGCGCCGAAATCCCTGGATGGTAAGAGAGTTGAGGGGGGGGGGGGGGCGACGTCTCACTTAATCGATCTCACAATCGACCCCACTATCGCTTTCACAATCATCTAACTCGATCGATCACACTCGATCGGTCCCACCAAAGGTCTCACTATCGTTCCCACTCAAGCGATCTCGCTATCGATCTCTCTATCGATCTCACAAACGACGTCGTTATCGGTTTCGTGATCGATCTCACAATCGATCTCTCTATCGATCTCTCTATCGATCCCACAAACAAGGCCGTTATCGGTATCACGATCGATGGGGCCGTCGATCCCACTATCGATTTCGCTCGATCGCTCTGACTATCGATCTCACGCGATCGATTTCACTGTCGATCTCACTCAGGATCTACGGTCTCCCAATCGATATCACTCGATCTCACGATCGATATCACTATTCATCTCACCATTGATTTCACTATCGATATCACGAATCTGTCTCACTATCGATCGCACCATCGATCTCGCAATCGATTTCGCCATCGGTATCACTATCGTTTTCGCACCAGCGGGACACCGGGACACCGGCGGGACACCAGCGGGACACCGGCGGGACACCGGCGGGACACCGCGCGCCACCGCTTGCCGGAGGGGGAATCATTTTGGCCGGCCGGGGCCCAACCATAAGCGGGACACCAGCGGGACACCGGCGGGACACTGCGCGCCACTGGTTGCCGGAGGGAAATTCATTTGGTCCAGCCACGCCTCAGCCACAGGAGACTTTCCTCTCGCCCGCCCACGCAGCTTCGCCTCGCCCGCACGCGCGGCACGCACGAACACGAAACCGAAACACATTTCCCGGTGGGGGGCTTCCCGTTCCACTTCGATCTCAACCCCCCAGCCTCCGATATATATATATATATATATATATATACACATATGTATGTATGTGTGTATATATATATATAGATTCATGCACGAATGTATGCATTCATGCATGCATGTACGCATGCATGTATATAAGTATGTTTATGTGTCTGTTTGTCTGATTGGCTAACTGCCTGTATGTATGTGTGCAGCATGCGTGCGTGCGTGCATTCATGCATGCGTGCATGCATGCGTGCACCCATGCATGTATGTATGCACACATGCACGCATGCATGTATGTATGTATGTATGCATGCGTCTATGCATGTATGTAAGTATGCATGTATGCATTGTATGTATGTGTGTATGGATGTTTGTCTGTCCGTTTGTCTGT